CCCAGGACATACATCTTGATGGCGGCAGATTACCAGGTCTTTTCTTCCGTGGAGCAGCTGGTAGATTGAAACCAACGGTCTTTTGGTGAGCCACTGAGCACTGAACCCCCAGGGTTCCCTTTCTCTGAGACTCACTCAAAAAACAAACATATTCATTGCTACTGAGCTGATGCCTATTCACAGCGACCCTATGGAGCTGCTCCGGTGGGTTCCTGAGACTAGATCTTTGTGTCAGTGGAAAGCCTCATCCATCTCCCACAGAATGGGTGGTGGATCTGCACCACGACACCCCCAGAGCGCCCTTCTCTGAGCATGGTTACCTCATCTATAAAATCTTTATAAGGTCTTTAATACTTAGATCAGTACTCAATACACTGTGAATGCTCAACATGGTTTATTTAAAATGGTATCAAAATGTAATGCCATCCTTTGAGACTCAGAACCATAATCTTGGAGGAGACTAAGCTCAATTGGTATAGCACAGTCCGCCAGGACAATGTTACACATCCTACTTTTGTGAGCCGAGGCTGGGCCCTTAGGAGCTTATAAGTGACCATTTAAGATGCAGCTAGTGGTCTCACCCTCTCCAGAACAAGGGAGAGAGGGAAAAATCAGAGAAACAATGAGTCTGAAGGAGTCACTGACCATGTGAGTCACAGCTTCCACTTGCCCGAGACCACAGGAACTAGATAGTGCCCACCTACCACTACTGACAGCTCTGACAAATCTGAACAGCATTACATTAGATTAGAAGGTCCTGGGCAGAGTAGGAGAAAAAGGTAGAATAAAAGTCAAGATCATAAAAAAGAAGCCCGACTTACTGGTCTGTTCAAGGGCGGTGGACCCCAAGTGCACGGCCCGTAGGCACCCTTCCAAGGGGCTCCAAATATTATATGTCAGTTCAATGAACAAACAACATCTTTGAGGAAAAAGCTCAGAAAAATCAAGCTTCGGAGAATCAAAGAGCACCATTTTCCCCAAAGTAAAGTTGAGAAGGTAGGAAGGGACAAGAAAGGTGGACAGAATAGGGACTCCAAGAAGGAGGTGGAAAGAACGCTGTTATGTTGAGAGGATTGCACTTCATGTCACAAAACAAGATGTGTGTAAACTGTTGCGCAGGGAAAAACAGTGCACCCTGTGACTCTCGCCCAAAGTGTAATCACATGTCTTTCAAAAGGAAAGATAAGTGGGGGGAAAAGTTACATCATCCACTTAGGCAAGGAGACAAGGAAAACAAGCCTCTATTACCACCACCTGCGTTTGGTGAATACTTAGGACTTAACGAAATTCTCCAAAGTCCATGGGCGATTGACCAGTCAGTATTGACCCTAGGTCGGAGGCCCGGAACAGAGTGTTTATCCAGGTAGAAACCCAGCAGACTAAAGATCTAAAAGTTTTTTTCATAACTTTTAGTTTAATGGTGTAAAACATTCTCTGTCTATTGTTACATAGTTAAGTCTTTCTACTTTTAAACAAAAGAGCCCTTGGCTTAACTGAACGTTTGGAAGTTTGAACTCACTACAGACAAGACGTGGCAGAGCTCCGTTCCTGTAAAGATTTACAGCCCCTGAAACCCAGGGGAACATTCCAGCTCTGTCTAGAATGTCAATATGAGTTGGAGTTTACTCAACAGCATACAGAAACAACTTTTTAGAAATTCCCATTAATCAAAATCAGGTGCTTTCTTAAAATGTGCTCGGGTTTTTTTGAGACCTGAAAGGACAATGAGAGATTCCCCAGAGATCAAGATGTCAGGACATCTCATTAAAAACATAAATCTTCTTGCTTTTGTCAGAAATATATAACTTAAAAATGCATTTAAAATGGTCTTTCTATTAAAGGAAAAGAGTGGCTCAAATGTGTGGCTTTGCTGTTGCTCTGCAGCAGTGATTATCAAATAAGCTTTGCCCATGTATTCCCTGCCCATAAGAGGAGAAAAGTATGCATTTCCTTGATCATATTTACGATGAGTTAGCAAGTGATCTCTGAGCTCTGAGAAGGGCTTGAAGGGGGAGATATTTCAACTTGCCAAGACTTGAATTTAAGCCCTTAAACCCCAGTAATTGGTAGGATTATTTAATTGCAAAACCAGATAAAGAAGCGTCTGTCATACATTTTATTTTAGACAGCAAGCTCTTAATGAGGGACCCCTCAGGGAAGTGAGGGCAATATTAGCTTAATATTAAATGCTACTTTAAAATATATTTCTCAGCGTGAATGAGGGTTCTGATGACAAACCAGTGAATGTTATAGGATATTGATATTCCCTTTTTGATAGAAGGACCCCTGATAGGACTGATGAGTCAGGCGTTGGCCTGTTAACCAAAGGGTCAGTGGTTCAAACACACAGGCTGCTTCCAGAGAGCAGGATGAAACTGTCTGCTCTCATAAAGATTTACAGTATTGCAAACCCCTAATAGGGTCTCGTGAGTGGGCATCCACTTGATGTCAGTGGGTTTGGTTTGGGATTTGATTTTCTTATAGGGGAGGAAACTCCCAATTGGATTTTATTGTGTTACCCAGATAGACAAACCTTTAGCATGCATTATGTATGCGCTGCCTAGTGCAATAATTCCTTGAGGCAATTGAAAGAATATTATGGAAGGCAATTAAAAATGTCTGAATATAACGTCTCCGGGTTGTCTTTTACAGTAAAAAGCACTGATCTCTTCTCTAAGAAAAAAAAATTTTTTCCCTCTCAGAATATTAACAGAGATTTTAACAAAGAACAGAAATGCTGACAACTGTGGAAAATAGTTCAGTAACTTCTAGCCAGCAGTGACTTTGCCTAAGGTTCAGCTCTCTTGGATTTAGGTAATAGGGTTTTTCTTTGGCCTGTAAACAGGGTAAACATATGTTTCAGATTTTCTGGGACAGTCTCAGTTAAAAAACATTCTTTCCTTTTTTAGTCTGTGTTACACCATGCATTCTCATGTTTTTAATGGAGAATATGAACAGTTTACCCACAATTGTCAGGATTTCCTTAATGAATCTTTCCTTTGGGGGTACCTTGGAGTGTCTATGTCTGAATGGGCGCCTAGTCTACCTATTCTGTGAACTCCATCTTTGGGTTTCGGAAAGCTGGACCTACTTTCTCCAAGCATCTCTGGAAATCTTCCTTCTCCCATTCCTACTTCGTCTGTAGTATTACATTCCAACTAGCATGTGATTGTACACTATCTATACTTACATTGTTCTCACTGTTGTATGTGTGCCAATATCATCTGCTCAATTAACGTGCACAGCCTGGAGGGAAAGAATCTCTTCCGACTTTCTCACACCCTCCACCATGCCTCCCTCACTGCTCGGCATAAAATCCATCCTGTGAAAAAAATCTGAAATATCACATTTTTTCTCATTCAGTAAAGGTATCTTTTGAAAAAAATATTTGAGACATTCTTAATGGCTTAAAAACGGTTACATTTGCAAAATATAAGAATTCATAAAAAGTAACTTTAGCAAGTGTGTGATATTATTTCAACGAGTGATCATTGACCGTTTTCATTAAACTGAATCTTATTTGGTTCTGTTACTATAAAATATTATCTTTTCTAATATTTTCACTTTTTATTTTTTATAAATACATTCTTCAATTTTCTACAAATACAAGGTGTCATGAGTAGGAAATGAATAATTTTTATAAAAACTGAACTTTCATTTTAAGATGTGTCTAGTTTGGTTTACTTAATATTAGCATGTGGTATAAAATAAATGTTGAAGGGAGCTAATGATAAAGCTGTCAAGTTTTATGTTCTGATGGCTGTTTTTCTCAGAAGTTAAAAATATTTTTATTTTAATGAGAATTTTAATATTGCATTCCCAGGTTCAATGGATAGCACACGTGGAAATATTTCTTCTATGTTCATAACACTTAGTCTGAAGAGCATGGGGTTGGGAAGCATAAATACAGAATGTTATTTTATATTACATACATTCTTTTGTTATCAGTAGTTTTATTTCCAACAGTTTCATTCACATGTAATTTACATATCATATAATTCAATAGTTCAATCATTCAATCATATCTTGGAGAGCCATACGTAAAGTTACCTTTAGGAAAAACTCTTCTTAAACCCCACAATAACAATGAGCCGATAAATATTGAGATATTGGTTAAATTCTCAGTACATGCTTGTCAGAATTCAAAGGTAGATATTCTGTACCAGAATACACAGCACACATGCACGCACACATGTAGAAGGTAGACACCCAGCTCTTCATTTCTCATCTGTCCTAAATGCAAAAGGCAAACTTTGTGACTTTATTATTTTGTCCAAAGCAAAACAACTCAGTTGTCATTGAGTTGTGCCTTGGTGATCATTGAGTTGTGTCTTGGTGATCATTGAGTTGTGTCTTGGTGATCATTGAGTTGTGTCTTGGTGATCATTGAGTTGTGTCTTGGTGATCATTGAGTTGTGATCTTGGTGATCATTGAGTTGTGATCTTGGTGATCATTGAGTTGTGATCTTGGTGATCATCGAGTTGTGTCTTGGTGATCATTGAGTTGTGATCTTGGTGATCATTGAGTTGTGTCTTGGTGATCATTGAGTTGTGATCTTGGTGATCATTGAGTTGTGTCTTGGTGATCCCATGTGTAGAACTGTACTCCATTGAGTTGTCAAAGGCTGATTTTCTTGGAAGTAGATTGTTTGGCATTTATTCCAAGGTAATCTGGTAGAATCAAACCTCTAACCCTTTGGTTAGCCAAGCATGCTAGCTATTTACACCATCTACAGATGCCACTGATGGATCAAGAACTCTATCATTTAAGCTTTTAGGCTTCTGTTCTGTGTCCTAAAGATGGGTGTCTGCCAAACCTTGGTGCTCTACATTTGCTCTTGAGCAAGTTTTCTTTTTTTTATAATAAAGAAGTTTTATGAAATAATGTGCTTATCCAGCTATGTTTCATTCATTCACTCTTTAGTTAGAACATGTACAACATATTACTCTGAGAATGGTGACAAATGACTTAGAACCCATGAACCTATATCCTGTTCTCATCACAAGGGTCTTTGGGGCCCGAGGTTGGTGTTAAGACAATGCTGGAACCACGGAAGGGACACATCTTCATGAAGCAAATCAAAACGAACAACCCGGTTATTCACAATATTGCACAAGGCCTTTGTAGGATTTACTTGTTGTCCAGCAAGGAACTGTAGGAACTTCCTAATATCTATGCATACTTCAGCCATTTCTTCCAGGTTTCTACTTTGAGAAGGACTTTCAGAACCTAAGGGAGGGCTTCCAAGATCTTTAAAATGAGTTGTAACACACACTAATTCAGTTTCTATTTTCAAGTTCAATTCTCCATTTAGGTTTGCTTCAATGATAAGGTGATTGCTAATATTTTTCATTTTTTCCACAACACTCTTTATAGTCTTCAGCACCAGTAAGTAAATACTAACATCAGATTCTGGAACTGTAGGTTCTTGTAAATCCTTCCACAGCTTTCTAGGAATAACTTTTATGGGGATGTCATGTGCCACAGTGCGACTGCTGCTTGAAATAGACAACAATTCTACAGAGATCATCAGGCAGGGGAAATGCTGATTAGTCAGCTTGACTTTCAAGGCTCTGGCATTCTGCGCAGTTTTCAAGGCTCGAGATAAGTTTTCTGGAGTCAGTTCTATATAAATCTCATTGTTTTCTTCTGATATTCCTTCCATTTGAAATTCGTTGAAGAAGTTCTCGCGTGAAGTTGTTCAGACAGGCCGCGTCCACGATCTTGGCCCAAAACTTCATGGCTGGACTCGCGGTTCGACCGCCGGAGCATCCAGAGCAAGTTACAAAGAGACAATCATTACCTCTGGGCATGTCCTATCCCATCTGCGTCTCTCCCCTCAGCTTTTCCCTACACTCCAGGCTGATATCCTCAAAATGCAAAAAGTGGAAGACAGAAGTGAGGGACGGAGAATCGGGAGATTCGGCAGCAGAGACTGATTCTTGAGAACCACACTTTCAGTTTCACATAGCATAACCTTTAAGACCTCACAGCAGCATACGCTACCTTATTTTTCCAATTTCCCCATTTTTTTCTCAGTATCAACACGTTATGGTTTTCCCCCAAGGAATTGGAATGTTTATGAGAATTTGATTTACTGGAGTTGTATACTTAATGTATTTGATTTACAAGAATTCTTTAAGTTCCTGTCAAGGTTTTGCTCATTAGGTTGCAAATTTGATGTGCAGGCGACTGGAATGCTTAAAATGAAAATCAGCTTTATTAAACTTATATACGTCATTAGGATAATTTAATTGTCCAAGTTTGTAACCAGTGCATATTCTGTAGTCTGATTTCTTTAGCATGAACTGACCAAATTCTAATAAAAAAAAGTTAGGGAACAAGGGTAGTTTTAGAGGATGTATAAGTAAAACAACAAAATTATTAATTGTAACTCAAGGAAAGGTAACTTTAAAACATAGAATATTAAGTTAATATCCAGTAAGCGTAAATAGCTTTTTATACTCCTAAAGATTCTTCTCCTGGCCAAGAAAAAATAAATAAGCCTCTAATAATATCAAAAGCAGATCCTGGCGACATTTAAATGTAGACATTACTTATTCCCCACAGTCTCATTTTCTGGCCATGAAATTTTGATCCACAATGATCTGTGATGCCCTTCTTTCATCCGAGGAGGGGAATTATTCGCACTTACAAAAAATCCTGATAATGATACCTTCAGTCACGGGAGATATAATATAGAATACATTTGTAATGCGAAGCAGAATTTGCTAGGTTGGTTTATAAATGATCTGTGTTGGCTGAGGGCTAAGATGAAATAAATTGAGGCATTAGTTGTTCAGTAGTAGACTTCCCACCTTTGCAGCAGGAAATGGGTTTCAATCCCAGTTGGTGCGCTTCCTGTGCTGCTACCACTGGTCAGTGGAGGTGTCTCTGCTGCTGTGTTAGACAGACTTCAGTGGGATTTCCAGAGGATGATGGGCTACGAAGAAAGGGCTCTACTTCTGATCTACTTCTGAAAGTCAGCCAGTGAAAATCCAACGGATCATAATGGTATGACCTCCAACTGATCGTGGGGATGGCTCCAGGTCTGGCAGTGTTTGTCGCTGCTGTGCACAGATCTCCGTGAGTTTCAGGTCTACTTGATGTACACCCCAAACAAAAGCAACAGCAGCTAACTACATTGTGGAGGCTCTTATAATAGCTAGAAAAGAATTTTCAGACTCAGTGACTCCTCCTCTTTACTTTTCCCACCCCTCTTTAGTTTTCTTCTGGGGCAGGGGGCAGGGGGCAGTAGGGTGGGTGGGGAATTCCAAGTAAGAGAAAGAGTTCATGAGGACGGATTCAACATAAATGAAAAGTCGAATGCCTCTGAGAATAGGAAAGCTGAAGCACTGCCTTGCTCATTGTTGTTTTTAACTTCAGGACTTGCACATGTGTGGATACTCTTGTTGTAACTTGCCCTCAAATCGATTTCAACTCATGGATAACCCCATGTGTACAGAACTGGCTGCGAGCCTTCGGAAGCAAATCTCTGGGCCTTCCTTCCTTGTTTACCTTAGCGTCCACTGGGTTTGACCCTATTGGTACTTGAGATATTTACGTCATAGCTTCTGATGTCGCACAACAGCATACAGGCCATCATGGTATGACAGACTGATAGGTGGTCACCTACTCTACACTCTCTTTATTCTTCATGGCTCTCTTTATTCTTCACAAAGCCTTCATTTGCTTACCACCAACTTTGTGATGGCTTATCTTTCTCACCGGTTTAGAATGTAATTCCCCCTTAATAATTTTTGTTCTGTGGCTTTCCACCAGAATCCCAAATGTTTATATAGTTTTCACAAGCTGGTAATGACTGCAGAGATCTATGAGGGGGTGCCCCCCCACCAAAAAAACCCAAACAAACAGAAAAAAGTTCTGCTGGGTGGAGCTTTTATAGTACACATTTTTCCTTCTAAGCAAACATCCAGCAACTTGTTCTGAGTTAGTGCACCCAGTGGATTACCTGGGAAGCTTCTCTCTGGTCCAAGTGAATTTTTTCATAAAAGCAGTTTTACTCAAACCTTGTTTTTTTGGTGATGTCAGATTTAAGAGAACAGCAGGCAGCTGTGAAATTTTGTTTCCCACTTGGGAAAAATGCCACAGAAACTGTTGTGATATTATTGCACACAGCTTACAAGGACAGCACTATGGGAAAAACACAAGTGTAGGAGTGGTTTTCTCATTTCAAAAAAGATGAAAGTTTGATTGATCACAAACCTTGTTCTGGATGTGCATCCACTTCCAGAATGGATGAAAACATGGTTCCAGGTCTGGCAGTGTTTATCGCTGCTGTGCACAGATCTCCGTGAGTTTGAGGTCTACTTGATGTAACCCAAAACAAAAGCAACAGCAGCTAACTACATTGTGGAGGCTCTTACAATAGTTAGAAAAAAATTTGCATAATGCATTTGGAGTTTGTTCCAGTAGATCAGACTGTTGATCAAGCTTTCTATTTAGAAGTTCTGAAAAGACTGCAAAACAATACACAACAAAAAAGGCCTGGCTTGTGGCAGACAGGAGACTGGTTTTTGCTACCACGACAATGCACCTGCTCACACAGCCATCTCAGCCTCTTTTGGCAAAAAATCAGCATGCCTCTCCTGCCCCATGTACCTTATTCACCTGACCTCGCTCCGTGCAACTTCTTTATGTTTCCACGAATGAAGAGGGACATGAAAAGACAGTGATGAGGGAGGTGATGTCAACCATCCAAACAGATGAGTTTGAAAAATGTTTCCAAGAATGGAATTGCAAATTTGACAAATGTATTAAGTGCAATGGAGAGTGCTTTGTAGGTGACAAGGTTGTTTTGTAAAAAAAAATTTTAATACATAGCTTTGAAAAAAAGAATCCCTTGTGTGTGTATTTTCTGGTTACCACCATGTTTTCCTGAAGATTAGAAAGAGCTCTTCGGAAACAACAAAGTCCACAGAGAAGAAGCACACGAGCCTGTGCGAACACGAGGTGT